GGCCGCCGGGGCCGAGGTCGCCTTCGCTCCCCTCCACCCCCCCGCCCCCCAGCCCCGGGTCGGGGAGGCCCGCGGCGGGGACTGCTCTTCGGGAAAACCTGGTGGCGACTGCAGAGAAACCCGCTCCCCGCCCGCTGGCGCGCAGGCAGCCGCCACGGTGCGTCAACAGGCGCTGTCACCGGAGCGAGTTCGGGGGTCCGGGACGGGGTCGGGGATCGGGGGGGGGGGGAGCGCGGCGCTGGCCGGGGCCGGGATCCGCTTTGAGATCTGGTGGATCGGCGCAGCCTGCGTCTGCTTTGGCGGCTGCGAAGGCGCACAGGTGCTCTGGGGAGGGGGTGTTGTGGGGGGGGGGGCTGGCGGCGCCCCCACCGACCGTCGCTGACAGCCTCTCCGCGGGCGGGCGCCCAAATTCGTTCACTCGCGAATTGCGTAAGCGGCCCTCCCGGTACCGGGTCAGCGAGAACTGCGCGGGCTGGCCGCCTGCTGCACCTTGCTAGGCCCAGCGCTCCAGCCTGAACGCCCGCCCTCCACTCCCTGCCCTGCGCTCGGTGTTCCAGCAACGTTGGACGGTTTCTCTCCTTGCTGTGCTTAATTGACGCTGGCCCTCCCGCCTGGCTTGCCACCCTTTGCCCGACTGATGTCACTAGCCTTTTGAAACCGGTTCTGTTACCTCCCCTCGCAGCTGCCTCACCCTGCCGCTGAAGCCGCTCTGTTCTCGGCGCCTTGGCTCCTGTTTACATCTCTGTGACTGCGCTTAGTTTTGCACAGGATCGTTTTTTTTTTTTTTCCTTCCGTGAGATACTTGAAGATAGGGGCCATGTCTTAACCCTCCATCGACATTGTCTGGCACACATTAGTCGATAGAAGCAGTCACTCGCCACCCGTGAGCTTTCCATCTCATCAGATAAGGCTAGCCATAGGACCCTGGAACCGCTGAAGAATCGAGGTGGCCTGCGGTCACATGCTGATTTCCATGGCATCAGGTAGTGATCGTAGGGGGAGGGCCTGAGTCTTGGAGGGGGAAACTGAGGCGGCCCATAAGGTGCTGACATTTATCGCTGGGGTTCTAGTTGGTTTGTGGAGTAGAAGCATTCTGAATACCTTTGCAAATTAAAGGGATAGGTGACTTGCGAAGGCCACACTGGTACCCCTTGCTAAGACACACTTCTGTAGGTCCTTTCCAGAGGCTTCTGGCAGTGGCAGGGTGGTGTGGTGTGGAGAGCCTCCTTGGAAAACCCGGCACAGTTGGTTTTTTTGTGATACAGCAATTCACGGTGGGTACATGTGTTACCAAACGTTTCCAGGATGCCGAATCTTGTTCCATTTCACTTTCACTTTGCCAGCCCGTAAACCATCACACACTGAATGAAAGTCAGAGAAGGAAGTTACTCCTTTGGCTCTGTCAGCTCTAGCCGTGTCGGGAAAGGAAGTAGTGTGAGCATGAGAAGACTGGAAAGCCAGGGCCTTGGCTGGGGTGGGCTCTAAGGTTCCTCTCTGTCTCTAATTTTCTATACTTTTAAGATTTTAATTCCTCATGACATTTGACTAAGCTGAAGACACTGGACAAGAGCGCGTTTCATTAAACACCTGGAGGGACAGATTGGTGAGCATCTCATTAAACACCCCGTAGAGACAGATGTGGTGAGCGCTGGCCGGAAGGAGGGGAGCCTGCTCTACATCTACCTCCTCACTAGCCAGCTGCTGTCTTAGCAGCTTAGGCCTCTCTGCGGCTGCTAAGAGGTGATTAAGTTAGAGGGTTTCATGGTGACCCTTCTCTTAGCTTCCTGTTGCCAGACCTAAAAGTGATGGCCTCGGGGTTCCTTCATATCCAAGCTCACTCACTAGGTCTCACACCTCCAGCACCCCTCTTCTTCAGGCGGGACACCGGGGGTTGTAAAGATGGAATCAGTGAGGATGCCCTCTGAAACTTTAAGGTGGTAGCTATGTACATTTTAGGACGTGTAGGTAGGAACATGAAAGGCTGATGAGATGAACTCTGAGTTGTCAAGGCAAAGCCTGGCTGTGCCCTGGAGGAAGCATGCTGTGGACTGGAAGGCCTGGGGTCTGGGTACTGTCAGCCTTGGGGCTCAGGAGTCTTTGCATGCTTCCAGGTGGATTTATATAAAGTTCAGTGGGGTGGGATGTAGCCCAGAGCAAGTAAGAATGGGTCAGGAAGTCACAGCCTGGCCTCTCCCAACCATGCTTTGCAGGTAGGAATGGGAGAAAGGAAAACGGAAGACTTTTAAAATACACTTGTGTAGAAAATAGAAAACTGTAAGGTTATTATGTATTTGCTAGATTCCAAGAGTCTTTTTCTCTATATGTTTCCCACATTTTCTATAACGAACATGTATTTCTTAAATCAGACTAATAAAACTTGTCAACATTGGAGGAAGTTAGTGTCTGCAAATATGGGCTTATCTTTTCCTGCTTACCTTTTATATCTCATCTGACTAAATAACTAATAAAAATCTCTTTTAAAAATAGGATCTGTTTTGTCTTTCAAGTCAATGTTATATTCTAGAATATTCACCTATGTCTTTTCATATGTCCAAGTGGCTAGGATATAGAAAGTATCTTTCTGAATTCGTTGGATTTCTTTTTTTTTTTTAAGTTGGATTTTTTTTTTTTTTTTTTTTTTTTTTTTTTTTTTTTTTTTTGAGACAGGCTTTCTCTGTGTAACTACTCCTGCTCTCCTGGAATTCACTTTGTAAACCAGGCTGGCCTCCAACTCACAGAGATCCGCCTGCCTCTGCCTCCTGAGTGCTGGGATTAAAGACCTGCCGTCACCACTGCCTGGCTTAAGTTGGATTTTATCTGGTTTAAAAATTTACCCACATCATAGTACTCCAGCCAGCACACTCTCTAAATCTACATTAGTACCTGCATTCAGTTAAGTATCATTTGGTTATTCCTGACTGTGATTTCAGTTCTGGGAACTCATCCTGAGGAAATGCTTGGACAAGTGTGCAGACACAGAAGAATGTTCATCAGAGATTTCTGTGTGGCAGAAAAAAAAAAAAAAAGCAAGACAACTTAAGTATCATGTATGAAATATTAATTAAATAGTAAATATAAGAATAGATTGGTTTATGAGTCACTGATCGAAACAGAGATGGACATTTGACCTATAAATGTGTTCTTTCCTGTCTTAAAGACACACACAGGTCTGAGCATCTAGCTCACAGATATAGAGTGTTTACCCGGCGCGCACAAAGCCCTGCATTCGATCCCCGGCATGGCAGAAGCCAGCTGTGGCGATGCCCATCTGTGATCCCAGCTCTCAGGAAGTAGAGGCAGGAGGATCAGGAGTTTAAGGTCATCTTTGGCTACATAGTGAGTTCAAGACCAGCCTGGGATGGGTGAGATCCTGTCTCAAAAATGAAAAATCAAATAAGAAGGAAGGTACACACAATCACACATACCCCATTTTGTGCTCAAAGAAAGAGGTCTGTATAGATTCTTAGAAGAAGAAGAAGAAGAAAAAAAAACTGTGTGAGGAGATAAGTGGGCACCCATAGGTGTCCATAGGTGTCGACTTTTAGTACAGGGACCATGGACTTCCCCCTCACTTGCCTTCTAGTTTTCAGCAGCAATTATATGGTGCTTGGTAACTTAAAGAAAAACATCTTAAAGATATCTGTGTATGATTGTTTTGCCTTCATGTATGTATGTTTACCACACATGTGCCCGATGCTCAGAGAAGTCAGAAGGCATAACACCTTCTGGCACTTGAGTTACAGAGGGTTAAGGGCCATTCTGTGGGTGCTGGGAATCAAACCTAGGCCCTCTGAAGAGCACCAAGGACCCTTGACTTCTGAGCCACCCCTCCAGCCTGCTTGGTAACTTTTAAAAGGAAAAAAAAAAAAATCAAGGCCCAGTGGAGTAAAAGGTTTGTTTCATGACCTGGCTGACTGACGATGTCATTCTGTCAACCAGAGTCTTTCATGGGTTAATTTCCCGTTGGACGGATGCTAGGAAATTCACTCATGAGGAGACGAACTTTTAACCACGATGACGTTTTTTCTTGATTCTTTAACTCCTGCGATTCTTCTCTCGTAACACGACCTGACACTCGCGAATACATTCATTGTGAGGAGGACAGACAGCTTAGTGAACAGACGCCGTGGGATGTGTGAGTACCCGCCATGGCCAGTATTAGTCAACCAATAATCAATGGTAACCGGGTTCCCTTGGTACTGAGACTTAGACTCACTAAGGCTACAGAAGGTGCCTATTCCAGATAACCAGTGGAAACAATAACAGTCAGCAATCAGTTCTGTCCTGTAGGCAAGTGGGGTGCAATGGGACCGCACCTTGGTGCCGATAGCCTTCAAGGCTAAGGGAGCCTGTGCAGAGGGTCAAAGTCAGTTAAGGACAGAGTCCTCTCCACATGGAGGTAGGTGGTTCTTGTCTTGGCCTTGAAGGGGAGGCAGAGTGGAGATGGAAAAGAGCCCGTTGATCTGCTGGCTTCACTACAGGGGAGCTTTCATAGCAGCGCATTCACTGGTGAGGTAGGCCCAGGGCTAGATCTGGAGATGACTGAAGGTTGGATGTGGGGCCCGAGAGAAGACTCAGCAGGTGAAGTACTGGCTGTGTAGGCCTGACTGCCGGGGTTCAATCTCTAGAGCCCACAGAAAGGTGGCGGGAAAGAGCTGACTCTACAGGGTCGTCTTCCGGCCACCACCGTCTCTGTGTTCACCATGCCACACGTACGTCTCTCACACACACATAATAAAAATCGTTATGAAAAGTTGGGTGGGGAGGTAGAGCTCCGGGCCTTGTGGTCCAGGACTGGCAGTGTGACCCAGCCATCTGATCTGCACCTGTCTCTTCCCCCAGCCTCAGCAGCAGATCTGTGGACGAGCCTTGGGCATTTCTTGTTGTGTGCGCCCGTGTGCGTGCGTGCGTGCGTGCGTGCGTGCGTGCGTGCGTGCGTGCGTGCGTGCGTGTGTGTGTGTGTGTGTGTGTTGGGAGGAGGGGTTTAAACGTCCCTGTTGTGGTTATTTTCACCCCTTTAAAGGGTTCAGATCAGTACACATGCGGCGGCGGTTGTCACTGTATTTCTTTCTTTTTTAAATTACCCCAAACAGAAGCTGTGCCCCCTCGGCAGTAACGCCTTCTCTCTCCTCTGTCCCTGCAACCTTTGAGTTACTTGGTGTCTCCATGTTCTTGCTTGTCTAAGTACGTCATGTACGTAGGTCATGAGTGTCTGTCCTTTGTCTCACTTAGCATATGTTTCAAGGTTCATGCTTGCACCAAATATGAGAACGCCATAATTTTTATGTCTGAATAAAATATTCCATTGTGTGGCTGTACAGCTAACGTGCCTTTGTGAAATGCAATAGGAGTCTCTTTATTCGTTTGTTTGTTCGAGTGGCCTTGTTTGAAAAATTAAACGTCTCCATTCTGTCGGTTCCCTGGAATGGTTTTGTTTCTGTTTTTGTTTTGCATCTTTCCCTTTACCAGTCAAAACCAGACCTGGCCCCCTCACTGTGGTACATGCTGGTCCCTTTGCAACCTTCTTCCGTTCGGCACCATCACGAATGACTCCTAACGTGCATTCAGTTAGGCTCAAAGGATGCTACCTGGTGGCGGTCCTTCCTCCTCATTCACATCTCCAGATACGTGTCAGCACATGGAAGGATGCTTTTCTAATAATAAGACCCAATGACAGACGGAGGGGGCTGGGGGAGAGAGGCGTGCTAACAGTGGACCACAGAGGCACTGAGAACAGGGACCAGTTTATAGATGAGGCATTGGCTCTCCTAAACAACAGGAAGACCAGGACTGACGTTTACAGCAGTCCACTCTTTGCATATCAAAGTACAGTGTTGGGCAGCAGACATCTCAGATCTCTGGTCATCTAGGCCACCTTGGAAAATGATAACTAGTGTTTCAGATTTCTCATGGTTTTCCTAACTAGGGTCCTTGCATCTCTTCCCTCTGGAGGTTAGGTGAGTGCAGACTAACTGCTTTATGCGTTTGATAAGGAGTAGGAGTTTACAGTACCATGCCGGTTTAGAATCACTCGCTGAAAGGCATGTGAGGGAAGGTGGCCTCCCCTCTGCAGGAACCTCCTCACCATGTTTCCTGGCCCTGCTGGGACCATGGGGGAAGACCCAGCTAATGGAGCATGTAGTGGTGCAGGTGTGCTTGGAGAATTGTGTATGATGCTGTGTAATGATTTGGAAGGAAGCAGAAGTGGAGGAAGAAATGAGAGAGGAAGAATTTTTTTTTTTTTTTTATAGGAAAAGCGAAGGAGTTGCCCAAGAAGCTCCCATAGTGTTCATTCTAACTCAAGCCCAAGACTCGA